CTCCTTCCCAAGACATTATAGGAGCACAGAACCTACCTGAATGGGATTCAGAAATGGATTGGCCATTGTAGGTGGTACTGCCAGCGCCACCTTACGTTACGAGGTCTGACCCCTTCAGGTAGAAGTCCTCGTTTCCTGTTGCTTCTGAGTTGGCCAAATTCAAAGTAGTTGGACAGGACTTTCCAAGCTGAGAGTTGGTGTCTGGCACAGTATTATTAGAAAGTTTCAGGCACAACAGTTCAGCTGAATTCTCCAATGAAGCTAGGGAAGAAGATGTTTTGTCCATGGTGAGACCCACAGACTTACCGTCTACCACATCACACCCCCTGTGCCCTGCCTTTGTAGAGCAAGAAAAGGATACCTGTGAATTTTGTCTTCCTTGGGAATCCCCTTTAGAACGCTCTGTCCCGCATCACTCTCAGCACAATATCTCCTGCAGCATCCCATGCTGAGAGACAACACTTCTGTGCGCTGATTATTATATAGCTCCGTGCAATCCCAGCGAGGTTCCCTCAGCCTCACAAGCAGACGTCTCCATGTGAGCAGGCTGGAGGAAAGCCAGTCTGGGCTATTTATCCATCTTTAGGAGTATATACTAATTAAAGACCCTTCCCAAAGGGAGAGGAGAACTCTTGGGCTCTGGCCTGAGCCAGGGAGGAATTGGCTGCTCTGTACGTCCGTGTGTATTTCACAATTAAAGTTAATTGGAAGAAAACCTGGCATAATGCTGAGAGCTCTGTGATGGGGTGATGTTACAGAAGACCTCTTCGGGGGCCTTCCAAGGCGCTGACACAGCCACTGCCATTCACCTTCCCACTCTGATCCACCCCCAATGAACTATTTGGGTAAGCCCCCGTTAGCACTGAAAGGGAGACTGTGAACACTGGTTGCTCCCCCAGATAATAATTGTTTACACTAGGCTTGATAGTAAGTAAAAGTGATTGTAGTAGGTACAAGTAGTAGGATTGAAGAAGTTATAAGTGAGAACAAGCAGAGCAAAGTAGGTTACAAATCACAAGTAACAGAAGCACTTGGCGAACGCTAACATTAAGATCTGCAGCACAGACTAGACTATTACAAACTCACCCTAAAACTGTTTCTGTTCCCACTGCACCTTCAAAATCAGAGTCATCTCCCTTCCCCTGGGGTCTCTGGGGCTACATCTGCACTGCAGGCTTCTTGCACAAGAAGCTTTTTCCGGAAGAGATCTTCCACAAAAACTTCTTACGCAAGAGCGCATTGAAAAAGTGATGCCCTTTTGTGCAATAGAGTGTCCAGACTGGTCCTTTTTGTGCAAGAGCACTTGCGCAAAAAGGTGTGTGTGGTCTGGGAACAGGGTTTTTTGCACAAAAACAGGAAATCGAAAAAACCACAAGTGTCCTGGTGGCCATTCTGTTCAAAGCATTCAGAGTTTCCTTTCGAGAGAGCGTCCATCCAGTCTGAAACAAAAGACAGAACTATGTAGCACTTTAAAGATGAACAAGATGGTTTATTAGGTGATGAGCTTTCGTGGGCCAGACCCACTTCCTCATATACCATATATGGTTGTGCCGATTTTCTTCCACATATTGATCTGAGGAAGTGGGTCTGGCCCACGAAAGCTCATCACCTAATAAACCATCTTGTTCATCTTTAAAGTGCTACATAGTTCTGTCTTTTGTTTCAGACTGGATGGACGCTCTCTCGAAAGGAAACTCTGAATGCTTTGAACAGAATGGCCACCAGGACACTTGTGGTTTTTTCGATTTCCTGTTTTTGTGCAAAAAACCCTGTTCCCAGACCACACACACCTTTTTGCGCAAGTGCTCTTGCACAAAAAGGAATTATTCCTCGTAGAAGGAGGAATACCCATGCCGGAAAACCCCTCTGTTCTTTTGTTCTACTCTGCGAGTTTTTGCGGAAAAACTCTGTAGCATAGACCCTCCTCTGGTACGTTCCACCAGCCCAAAGACAAAAGACTCCAAACTTCCTACTCTTTGTAAAGAATTCCCTTTCTGCATGGAGAGTCGTCTGGTCACTCCCCACCAACCACTGCTAGGATTTACAGACAAAATCTACTTGCATATGATTGCCCAGACACTGAGGCATCCCAGCTTAGCTCAGCTTTTGTCGCTGTCTACACAGCAGGAAGTCGAAGGAAGAACATTCTTCTTTCCACTTCCCTTACTCCTCCTGAAATGAGGGTTACAGGAGTCAGAGTAAAACATCCTCAAGCTCGACACTATTTGGAAATAACGGCTTGTTGTGTAGACGCGCTCAATGTTATTTTGGAATAATTAACGTTAACGTTGCTAACTGCTATGTAGACATACCCTAACTGAGAAGCAGAAAAGTGTCTCCTGCACGTACTGTATGTCCCAGTGACTTCCCGTATGTTCTCAAGATCCCAGGTGATGGTGGCAGCAGAAACACCTGTATGGAGAAGCACTGTCCATTGGACATAATGCTCACACTGTCCGAGGCTGTTTTCAGGAGAGAAGCAGATTATTTGTTCTTCTCACTCAGGAAAAAAAATGGCATTTTCATTATTCATGGGAATGAACTGAGAACAACCGAGCCTGCGAATGCCAGTTCCCTATGCCATGTGGTTACATGTGCCAGTAATTACTCTGCCTCGTGGTGTGGGAAACCTTCCTGGGTACCAGCAGGAAACAGGAGGGTAGATACTGGGTGTCCATCATTGTCCCTTATCGCAATGAAACCCAGACAAGTCCATGAGGAAGGGAGTTCTCATGCACTTGGTTGTCCAAAATCTGAGAGTGGAAAAAACCACAAATGTTGGCCAAAACGTGTTCGAGGGGGAAACATCCCAAGTGGGACACACCTCAGGGTGTCACTGATAGCAACTGAATAGAAATACCTGCTCACTTGGAACTGTGGCCCAAACCAAGCCAGTGATTGGATGCCTAAGGAATGACAGGTGGAATAAGCTGCTCTGGACAAGTGCACAGTTACGTAAAACGGGCCTATTGTACGTGGGGCGTGTCTAGGGCATGGTCAGAGCAGGGGCAGGGCTTGGGAAGGAGCTAAGTGGGGCAGGGTGGAACAGGGCAGGGCATGTGGTGGGGTGTTCGTCAGGGCCCTACACCTGAGGTACTGGTGAGCTGCTCCAGGCTCTCCATCCCCCTAGTAACTGCCCTTCCCTGGGCTATTCCTTGCTCCTTGTTACCCCCTGCCTGCCCCCTGGGATACCTTCTGGCTGCATGGCCCCTGCCTGAGGCCTGAGTGAGCCGCCTATTCGCACGTACCCATGAGCTATCATGTCCCTGCCCCTGAGCTACCCACCTGCCCGCACACAGCCACTCGGCACTCCCGTTTCTCCACCCTGAGCCACCCCCTCCCTGCATCCTGAGCTGTGTTCAAACTTTCTCAGCTGATCCTCCCCCCACCCCTTTACAGTCATCATTTTTGGTCGTGCCTCTCCTCAACACAACCTAGACAGGCTGGATGGGCCTAGGATCCTGTCTCTCTGGGACTCACGTCTCCTCCCCCCCCACCCTCTGAGCCCCTCACAATCCAACCTGCAGCCCCCCGACAGGTGCCGCGTGGAGTGACAAGAGGGGTCACATGCCCCCAAGTACCATGGGCAGAAGGGCCAAGGGGCCAGCAGCCCAGAGTTTCTGGACATCTGGGGCTTTAGCAGGGGGAGAGGGGGCTGGCAGCAGTTTCAGGGCCCAGCTCTGCCCCCACTTGCTGGCTGTAGCAGCAGCAGCCCCAGCCCACGCTGCTCTCCCGGCGCAGCGCTTGGAGGAGGGGCTGGATTCACCCTGACTGGTGGGGAGCAGAGCGACGTGAGCGAGGGAGCAGCCTCAGCGGAGGCTGCCGCTGCCAGTGAGTGCGGGGTTCCCTGCCAGCCCCAGATCCCTACCCCGCTAATCCCTCAGGCCCCATCATTTGGGGAAGAAGTGGGGCAGGAATGGAGCAAGGGCCGGGAAGAGGTGAGGCGTGGAGCAGAGAGGGATTTTCTCCGCCATTCCACACGCTGGGACGGGGTCACAAGGCCAGTGTCCCTGTGTCACCCCTCAACAGTCGACGCTGAGTGTACCTACACCTGATATCCTCCCCCTTCAACCAACGACAGCTCACCTCACCTATGTAGGAGCAGACGTTACATTTTTAAACCCAACCAGAGCTCTTCAGCAACCAGCCACAAGTTATCAGAGCACACTGGTGTTAGAGCCCAGTGTATTTATTTTAATCTCAATCGTCTTTCTTTTCTGTAAGAACAAGATACAGTGCTTCTGCCAGCTAACTGCTAAGTTGTCTGCCAAAAAAAGTAGAGTTTTAGGCCTAAGTGGTCACTACAATGAAGGTTAAATTCCCCCCATTCCTAAACCAGAAATGGCTCCCTTGCCACATGGTGGGGAGGGGGAGATGATCCAGTGAGGGATAGAAGGATGGGAGCCAGTGCTAGGACAGGGTCATGGGGGGAAGAGGATGAGAAGAGGCAGCATGTTGGCAGAAATGGTGGGGCAGGAGGGGTTGCTTTATGGGTACAGTTCTGAGCAATGAGATTGGTGGCAAATGTCTCACTTCATGAGTTCTACTCCTGCCGCTTCCCCAGTTTGCTATGCTGAAACAGCGTGGTAAGAGCAGGAAAATATATAATGTTGTGTCTTTGCCTGGCTAGTAGGGAAATAAAAGGGCACCATGCCACCCAACATCCCTGAATGAAGCTTACTCTGGATGCATCTACACAGCACCTGAAACTCAAAATAAGATATGCAATTTGTGCTATGCAAATTGTGTAGCTTATTTCAAGTCTATTTTGAAGTAGCTTATTTTTTCTTTTGGTGCTGTCTACACAGCGCCAGATTTCTACATAAAGCACTACTTTGAACCATCCCTTATTCCTCGTAGTATGAGGGCAAAATAGTGTGTCTGCTATATTTCAAAATAGCAGATGTGTTCAAAAGGCACAGGGTAGCTATTTCGGGAGACCTGAAATAACTCTGCTGTGTAGACATACCCTATGAGAGCCAGCGCTCCAGGAGAAAGCATTAGTTCCCTTTCTGAGTGAAGAGACGGAGCAGCCTGTCCCGGATCTCTCTGGTCCTCACCCCGTAGATGATGGGGTTCAGCATGGGAGGGAACAGGGCGTACATGTTAGAAAGGAGAACATGGAAATGCAGGGCCACACTGTGGCCAAATCGGTGCATCAATAAGGACAACACACATGGGATGTAAAAGGCTAGGATGGCACCCAGGTGGGAGCCACAGGTCCCAAAAGTCTTGCACCGGGCGTCCTTTGTGGGGAGGCGGAAGACGGCCCTGAGGATCTGGGTGTAGGAGATAGAGATAAAAACTACATCCAGACAGGTCACAAAAAATACCACAAAGAGTCCGTAGTAACTACTGACGCGGATGTCAGCACAAGCCAGCTTCACCATGGCCATGTGCTCGCAGTAGGTGTGGGGGATGATGTTGGTTCTGCAATATGGCCACTGCCTTGCCAGGAGAAGACCGGGAAATATGAGGACACCACTGCGCAGAGCCACAATCAGACTCATCTTGCCCACCACGGGGTTTGTCAGGATGGTGGAATGTCGCAGGGGATGGCAGATGGCCACATAGCGATCCAACGCCATGGCCACTAAGATCCCAGATTCTATCATGGAAAAGCTGTGAAGGAAGAACATCTGGGTAAGGCAGGCATTAAAATCTATCTCCCTAGAATTGAACCAGAAGATGCTCAGCATTTTGGGCAGGATGGAAGTGGACAGGACCAGATCAGTGACAGCTAGCATGCAGAGGAAATAGTACACAGGCACATGGAGGCTCGACTCCTTCTTCACAATGAAGAGAAGGGTGAAATTCCCCAAAACAACTATGGCGTACATGATGCAGAAGGGGATGGAGAGCCAGATGTGGGCGGCCTCAAGGCCAGGGATGCCCAGCAGGATGAAGGAGGAGGGGTTGGTGAAGTTGGTGGTGTTGAAATCTGACATGCAGTAGGGGAGAGGGTGTCCAAGTCTGAAGCAGAACAGTGTCTCCTACATGTACCGTATGTTCCCTGGAGTTTCTTCAGATGGGCGTACATGATGCAGAAGGGGATGGAGAGCCAGATGTGGGCGGCCTCAAGGCCAGGGATGCCCAGCAGGATGAAGGAGGAGGGGTTGGTGAAGTTGGTGGTGTTGAAATCTGACATGCAGTAGGGGAGAGGGTGTCCAAGTCTGAAGCAGAACAGTGTCTCCTACATGTACCGTATGTTCCCTGGAGTTTCTTCAGATGAACCTGGATGGAGAGACAACATGACTTTGAAACACAACGTGAACACACGGGGCGGTTTTTTGAAGGTGTGAGGCAGATCAGCTGTTCTTCACACTGAAAAATGACAGTTTCATCCATCAGAGAAATTAATTATGAACACCTGACCCTACTAATGCCAGTTCCATATCTGATGGTGCTCCATGTGGCAGGAATTCCTACATAGCATGCTACGGGAAACCTTTATAGGCACCAGAAGAGAACACAAGTGTGGATTCTGGCTTTCCCTCATTGTTCCTTAATGCAGGAAAATCCAGGCTAGAGAGTCTACAGCAGGAGTGGACAATAATTTTCCATAGGGGGCCACTCCAAGAATTTGGGAAGTAGCCGAGCACCGCACCCTTCTATGATATTAATGCAGGGATCTGGGATGGAGGTTGGGTGCAGAAAGGACTTTGGGAAAAGGGGATTGGGGTGCGGGAAGGTACTGACTTGGAGAAAGTGTGCAGGAGGGAATGCAGGGTCTTGGAGGGGGTTGTAACCTGGGGCAGGAGTGCAGGGGTTTGGGCTGTGACCAGGGACAGCAGATTGGTGGGGGTGAGGTCTAGGAGGGGCGTGGGACTTAGGAGTGGTGCAAGAATAACAATCAGAAAACAAACGAGTGGAAAAAAGAAAATACAAGACAGGTCTGTGTTCACTGTAAAGTACTGAACAATGGAGGGAATGTTTAAGAAGAATAGTCAACAAGGTTAGGAAACAATGGAAAAGCCCATATTGGATTCATTAATAAAGTAGAGAAATAATGTAATCCATGCCAAGGAACATCAAGGCTTAGGGAACACAGGTCTTGTCAAGTAAATCCGTTTGCATCCTTTAAAGGGAATATTGGTTTTGTTCATCTCATGAAGCACAAAGATGCTATAAACCGATTTCTCGGAGGGTATGTCTACTCTGCAGAGCTTTTTCGGAAAACGGGAACGGTCACTCAGAGCAGGGGAAGGATTTTCCCTCTGCACGTGGCATTGGGGAACCCACCTGCATGCAGTTTTGAGCTCCATATTTTGATAAGGAGCTGGAAAAAAGGAAGCGGTTCCAAAATGGAGCCACACAAATAACCTGAGTCTGGACAAAGTGCCCGGCAGAGAGACTGAAGGAGCTTCACTTCGACAATCAAGTGAGACGTGCCTGGGTAGAAAGCAGTGGGCGAGGACGGGCTCTTTAATGGAGCACAGAAAGGCAGGGCACGACCCTTTGTCTAGAAGCAGAAACCAGACAAATTCCAGCTTGAAACCAGGGCCAAACATTTAGCTGAACTGTTGCTACAAACTGCGCAGGGAAGTGCTGGATTCTCCAACACCCCGTATCTCCCGATCCAGACGGCAGGTAGAAGATCAGCTTGAGGGCTTGTCTACACTTCAAAGGCTAGAGCGGTCCTGCTGTAGCACTTCAGTGCCAACATTGCTTACACCAAGAGCAGGGGTAGTCTTGCAACCACGGGTTATCCACCTCCCTGAGGAGGTTGCTGAGTTGGTGGAAGAAAAAAGACACGCTCACTGAGCCCGTGAAATCCTTCCTCGGAGCAAGTCTTACTCAGGGAGCTCAGTATGGGGATAACTGGGTGGAATGTAATAACCTGTGTTATCCAGAAGCGGCGAGGAGTCCTGTGGCAGACTAACTAAAGTGTAGGAGCATAAGCTTTCGTGGGCAAAGACCCACTTCGTCAGATGCATGTGTTATCCAGGACGTCAGACTGGAATATTTAATGGAATGCTCTTCCCCCAGACCCTATAAATCTATTGATAAAGACACTAGGTCTGGCATTTATATTTACGCTGTCTCAGAACACGAGAACAAGGGAACGTTCCGTTACATTGAGAGTTTTCCCATGTATCACCAATGAACAAAAACGATTTACGTAACAGCTATGTCACCTCTTGAACTTCTTCCAAAGATACTAGTCTAGCAAAGAACTTTGCTGAATGATATGCACACTAAGCTCTAGAGGTTTAAATAAATTAAATTAATGGAGATTACTTATCTGCTAGAAATAGAAGGGACCTTGAAAGGTCATCAAGTCTAGTCCCCTGCCTTCACAGCAGGACCAAGTACCATCCCTGACAAATTTGGCCTCTGTGAGGATTGAACTCAGAAACCCGGGTTTAGCACACCAATGCTCAAACCACCAAGCTACCCCTCCCTCTCATGTTCTATTCCTCCCGTCAGTATTACAACGGCGTTCCCTTCAGTTGTGCGGGCTGATACCTTCACTTAGAGGACCGTGTTTTCAGTTGCTTCTCGGCTTGCCCAACTTGAAGCATTAGAACTGAGATGTCTAAGCTGCACAGTTGATCCCAGCACAGATTTTTTTCAAGTTTCAGGCACAAGCGTTGAACTGAATTCCCAAATGAAGCTAAGAAGGAAGATGGCTGCTTATGTTGACAAATGATTCTCAACCTTCCAGTGCGGAGCTCTTCCCCCTGCGTGCCTGAGAGGGGATATCATTCAGGTTACAGCTCCCACCCCCAGGCAGATGTGCCCGTATTAATATCAAGAGCCCTGAAATGCAAGAAGAGGAGGA